AAAAAAAAAAAAAAAAAATACGAATTGTGCAAATAATTATATTAACCTTTTTTTTATTTTTTATACACACACTATTTCTTTTGTTTGCATGTTATTTTTCTCCTCACAAATTAATATTGTAATCTCTTCTTATATGTATGTAACTCGGGATATAACAATATAAAATTAATCGTTGAATTTTGTAATTGGCAAATATAATAGCAATTCATAATTATCAAACCACTTACTGTAAACTGGATTTAGTACACGACATTATCAAAGATTAATAATGCCTTATGTATGAGAAATATTTTTATGTTATACTCGGATTAAATTATTAATTAATATATTTTGTGTATTAAATCATAAATAATGATTAAATATAAATAAATTAGAGTATTACTTTTACGATGCAGTGTTACTACCGTGTGCCTTGGCACACCTAGCAAGGTGTGCCAAGGCAGTTTAAAATGAACATGTTTCATTACAAAATGAACATGTGTAAAGTTTACACATGTTCATTTTGTAATGAAACATGTTCATTTTAAAAAAACTTTGGCACACCTTGCTAGGTGTGCCTAATTATTTGCGTTTACGATGTGCCGATTTATAGGCTTTCTTTAACACTACCCGTAGCTCAAGTTTATGACTGTAGTTCACTTATTACGATAGGTAGGGGCCGCCAGCCGAACTCAGTTTTCAATGGTTATGTTCTCCTTCTCTACTTTCTACTTTAGCCATTGAAAAACAATGATTTTTTATTTTTTTTTAAAAAAAAAAAAAAGAAGAAACAAGTGGTTGTGATGTATTGTGTAAAAAGATAGATTTAAAAGTTGCTCGATAGCTTCGACAAATAAATGTAGAGTTACTATTTTAAACTAATTTTTACTTTATTGACATTTTTGTAAAGAACAAAAATTTTTTTATTTTATTTTAATAATATAATAATAACTTTTACTACAACATATGAAACGTGTCGCGTACTTGTAGATTGACAACGTTTTATAATAGTACTGTATTCTTTTTTAATTGCCCAAACGTGGCATTTTTATCTCCAATCATCATCTAAAAAATTTGGTTTGAGATAGTTATGGGATTGTGTGCTGTTTTCATAAGATTCCCAATACATTTGCTCTTTCTGATTTGTTTCTTCGAGCCTCGAAGAAATTTCTAGCGACAGTAAGTTTTATTTATAATTTGTATTAATATATTTTATATAAAATATAGTAGTATTAGATACCTATGTCTATAAATAACATTTACAGAGTTGTGCGGGAGTGCAAGCATGCGAATTTATGTAGCTAACACAAATATAATACGGAAGTAATTTAAATAAAATTGTCTTTATAAAGCATTTCGTTTCCCTCATAATTGTTTCATTAGTCCCTACACTCCACTTCTATTCACTTTTCTATCCAACAAGTAGACTTCAAAATCTATAGTTGGATCCCTCAACAGTCACACAAACACTTCTTTCAAGTGTCTCAAATGTCTTTAACTTTTAGCTCGTAAGAAAACGAACTGAAAGCTCAACTAAACATATGAAAATGAAATACGAGCTCTCAAAACTCTCAGAATTCTCAAAATAATACGAGCTCGCTCTCAAAAGATTACAATACAATGGTGAAGTTTTCTGAATACATATATATATATATATATATATATATATATATATTTCAAGATCTTCATAATCGCCTTTAATTTGGAATGTCCGAAGTCATGTATGAACACGAATTTCCTTAATTGCGAGATTCTGCTGATCTTTTTCCAACTTGTCTGTATCTAGGTTTTTCACCCTCCGTATGTGTTCAACTCGCGTCCATATCTTTTAGCCGTATCCACATCCTTTCCATGCAAGTTCCTACACTAAATAAGAAAACAAATCTTGACCAAAACTTAGCTCGATATTCAACAATTAAAACACAACGAAACTTATGACAAGTCAGTCTTCCGTTTATTTTTTTCAAGTAACCTACAATGAATATAATCAAATACACAAAGGAGTTATTAACATTATGCCAATTCAAAATCCTAACAATTTCTCCCTTTGACTTCAGTTCGAAAATTCTATTTCTTGTAGTCACTAAAACAAGTTTAAGTCTAAAGCATGATCAAAATTTTGGATCGACTAAAAATGTAAGAATTAGTTCAAAATCCTTCCACGTCTTCCCCTTGAAAAATAATTATTTTTCAAATATGGTGATTACCAAACTCAGCAATGTGACAGGCTACGAGTTGGATTCAGTGTAACCTTACACTTGACAGCCGACTAACATCTCAAACTCAGCAAGCCGGTCACACTTACCGGCTTTTCCAGTGGAATGACCAAAATTTAGTTTTTTTTTTTTTCTATTACAACGGTGTTTTATAAAGTCACCACAATCACCGGACTATTTATCAATTTGATGTCGGTTGCATAATTAAACGTCCATTTTTTTTCCACGTCACCCAATATCAACAAGTAATAGGGAAGATAGGACCCTTAGCCTTAAAGGTTTAGGATGAAATTTTCCTTCAAAAGACAAAAGTAGTATTCTATTTCTTTGCCAATCTTTTTATCAGTTCTTTTCCTATAATTTGTCTAGAGTCTGGATATTTCTGTTCTGAAAACTCCATTGTGACTATGACTCCAGTAAAGCTAATTTTTGTGGAGGCGCAAAATTCATCAAGCATTTCAAGTTCCTAATAATCATTATTATTATATATTTTTCTCACTTACGTATTTTTCATCTCAATCTAACACAATTAAAAAATAGAAAATTAATCATTATTATATATTATTCCACTAACGTATTTTTCACAACTCATAATCATTAATAATCAATTACTTATTTATTTTATATCACATCAATTGCTAATTATTATATTCTTATTATGGATGAAATAATAATAATAATAATAATAATAATAATAATAATAATATATAATAAAAAGAGACTGAACACATATCAATAAAAATAAGCAGAAGAACACAACATCAACATGTTCCATTTTTTCCATGCTTTTAGAAGCACATACGATACAAAAGAAGAAAAAACACAAGGATATAAAAAA